AAAGATTCTGTTGGATTAGCAATTTTATTTAACTTGTATCAAGTTAGCGATACAACACGTATTCAATCATTAGGCAAACGAAAAGCAAAACGGCGCCCCAAGAAGATTAGCACACCTTTAAACTTTTTAAATAGATATAAATAAAACTGTATTTATAACTCCATATTGTTCATTTGATTAAAATCTCAATGGATATGTTTGTGTTGTATATTATACTTTGTTGAGAAATAAAAATGTGATAATGCAGGCTGAAAAATTTGGTGATCAAAAAAATTGATACCCTATAACTTTGGACTCGAAATACACACTTGGAAGAATGCACACTAGCGCGCACACTTTATTTTTTACAGTGTAAGTGACAAATGCAAATACCCTCTTTTCTTTGGTTCTGTGAAATTAGAAATACCGTTAATCGTATTTTACAATGCCATTATGGTATTTCAGTGTACCCTTTTTTGGTTTTGTAAGATTTATTTGAGAGTATTCCTCATTCCACATGAACCAAAAAAAGATGGTATCTGTATTTGTTACTAAGACATTTCAAAAAGGGTATCCCATCATGGAAATACCCTTGTCTGGTTCTCTATCTTTTTGGACAGAATAAAAAACTCGACTCTTCTAATGTGACGTTTTTCGTTCACGCTTTTAGTCGAATATACTTGATGCTAATAACTAGAAGTTTTGATAGAACTCTGAAAACATTGCCACATTGTTCAGGAGGATCGAAACCCTATGTTTTCACTTGGTTTCGAGATTTCGCAATGTACAAAACAGGACTTTCAGTGGTCTCAGGAAAAGTCCCAGCACCAAGCAGTGATAGATAGAGACCTATATCTTGCGTAGTTTTGTAGAAAAATATCTGGTTGTTCGAACCTACCCATCAGCATTCAGAATCCGAAACTTTTTTAGTGGAGCCTCCTTCAAAATGCCTTGATCAGGTCTACCACCTACAGATGGATCGTTTTAGTTTTTCTTAGTTCATAAATGGATAGCTCCAACATTTTTTCTTTTGAAAACTGGAAACCGCAGGTCTTCAGCTCTTTGCTATCAAAAGTTATTCAAGAACAATGGACTGCGTTCTATTTTGAAATGGATAGTAGTTAATTATGAATAATTTATTTAAGTTTCTCTATCTAAACAGATTTCAGATGACACTGAATTAAAAATAAAATTTTTCTCCAGACAAATTATAGTGAAAGCTGACGTTATTAACATGAAACAAAGTATAGAAAGCATTATTTTATGTAAAAATAAGGCGTCGAAAATTCAAAAGTTCAGCAAAATTTATTTTTGCGATATTTATACATGGTTGGATAGAGCCCGTCGAGTTGAGTCAGAATATATGTGTTTTAACGTTCCGAAAAAAAAGTTTTGGAGAGTGAAAATTTCAAAAACCTAAAATTTTGAAAACTTGACAAAACGGCCTAATATTCGCTAACCCAGTGACTTTGGAAGCTTTGAATAAGAAAATTTTAGTTTCGCCCTTAAAAATTGTTTCGTAATGTTAAAACATACATATTCTGATTCAGCTCGACGAGTTCTATCCAACCATGTATAATATAGCATTTTGAGACGTTTCGTACTTTATTCTAAGTACATCATCAGTCCATAGACACCGCTTTAAGCATTTTGAGACGTTTTGTACTTTATTCTAAGTACATCATCAGTGACTGATAAAGTACGAAACGTCTCAAAATGCTTAAAGCGGTGTCTATGGACTGATGATGCACTTAGAATAAAGTACGACACGTCCCAGAATGCTTAAAGCGATGTCTATTGTTCTCATCTTCATTATTACATGTATAATATATTGCAAAAATAAATTTTGCTAAAGTTTTAAATTGCCGGCGTTTCAAATGTCAATCAACATGCACTTGTGGGAAAATAGAAATATATATATTTTTTTCTCTAATGAGGAAAGAAAAAGCAATAAAGTCATATATTTAATTTAATTATTATCAGAAACACAATAATAGTAAACTATATAAAATGAAATATTTTATGGCATAAACATGAGTACAACGTCAAAATTTACATTATTAATTTCAAAATATCATTAATTTCTTTTTTTATCATGATAAATTGGCGATCTCTTCAATCAAAAGGATCGAAGTTTGGTGAACTAATGTGACAAGAATAGTGAACATTAATATAAATAGTGTGAGTGGAGAAAAAAGAAATAATGACTATTATTCAAAGTCTATTTTCTCATTAACTATTGCATGCGTGCAGTATACTCTTATACTTTATTTTTTTTCGAATAAAAAACTGACAGAAGTTAGTTTTTAGCTGTTTTTGTGTTGTGACACAATATGAAGGCAGTATAATTTTTTTTTTTATTCAAGTTTTGATGTCAAAGTTGTAAGCGAATTATCAGTAATAATTTGTATTGTGTTATAGTAGATGAAGAGGTTTATACATTTATAATTCACTATTAGTAGAATCGAGTATTCATTAGACTATAGTAGAAAAAAATGTCTCACACAACATTTCCTCAAACATTTCGAGAAATAATGGCTACTATATGTTTTATATTTGGTTTTCCGGGAAATTTATTAACAATTATTATTTGTATTAAAGCACTTCATTATCGGAAAAAAATTAATTTTGAACGAAAAATATTCGATTTATATCTCGTTGAAATATCAATTTTAGGTATGTGAATTAGATCATTTTTCTTCAATAGCATCATATTTTCAAAATTAAGTTAATGTTAACAAAAACGTGTGTCTCAAATTCTAACTATATTTATTTTTCCATTTAGATACCATATTATTAACTTATTGGGTATTAGATACAGCAGTTGTCCATTTATATGATTCAAATTATATTCGATTTCAAAATTTAATTAATATATCAGAATTTTGTTGTTTTTTTTTCTTCATGCTAAATCGTCTATGTGCTGCACTTTGTTCATGGTTAATTATGTTTTTTACTTTAATACGTTTTATACATATATTTCGACCGTTAAACACTATAAGAAGTAATGTTATACTTGTTATATTATTATTAGGCACATTTGGAACGTTAAATACTTATCTAGTAACATTTCTAAGGTATGAAAATCAAAAACAAATATTAAATAATAATTTAACAACAATCACAACAACGACAAAAACAATCACATTGACATCATGGCATTTTCTTCCACTAACAACTGAATATACGAATGTAACTTTAAATCCATTAAAACAGTATATATGTTCTGTTGGTCGAGAGTATGAACACGATCGTTTACGAAACATTCTAAATACAATATTTACAGGCGTATTTAGTTTAGCTATTCCATCGATAATAACGTTAATTGTTAATATCGTTATTTTGGCCTATATTCAACGAGTATATAACATAAACGGATTAAATCGAATAAATAATAACTATTCAAATTATCGATCAACACCATTACTCGTCATATCAATTACGTATACACTCTGTTATTTACCATATTGTATTATATATTTTTCACAATTTTTATTTTCTCCTGGTTATGCATTGTCTATTTGTTCAAGTATAGTATTTACAATTCGTTATATTAGTCATTCAAGCAATTTTTATGCATATATTTTTACAAGCTTAAGATTTCGTCGTGATATCAAATCATTATTTCGTATGTTAGTCTGTGTGACTATAAAAACAAAAGATCATGGACATAAGAAAAAAGACAATTATTGTCATCGAACACCACATCAAGTAATGATAAAATCTAAAAATGTCATTGGTGTGACTGGTCAGCATGATCGTCTACTCTCACTTCCTGCAACAAAAAATCATTTGACATCCAAACGTCGTATAGTAACAATTCCTCGTCCATATGATGTACAACAACCATTGCGTTTCAATCAAATGGAATAGACGATAGTAATAGTAATAGTTAAAGTAATAGTGATGACAAGAAAAGCAATTTCGGTTATCAGTTACATAATATTGACACCAATAATAAACCTTATTCGACAAATCATCGTCATTATCTAGTCTAGTTCGACGAGATATTCAGATAATGAATTTTATTAAATAATTTTTTAACGAAAGCATCAAGATAGTTGTATCATATTAATACTTATTTTTTCGTTTCATCCAACGTTTTGAAAGTTGACAACGTATGAATGTCTGGTGTGGTTTCCGTCTTGTATCTTTATCCACGCAGTTTTTATAAGTACATTAAAAATCTCCAGCTTTCTGGAGGTTAAATATCAACGTTTTTTGTGAATTTCAATATAGAGTTTGTGTGTATCTATCTGTATTAGAAAATGAGTCATTTTTTGAACAATTAAGGCAGCATTTCAAAATTTATGCCGGCCGTTCAGTCGATCGCTCAGCCGGTCAGTCGATCACAGATCATTCTGCCGCTCAGTCGTTCGGTCGGTCACTCAGCCGCTCTGTCATTCTGCCGCATTTAAATTCTGATTAATTTTATTTTGTTTAATTTCGATTCCTTTGATTGTATTGTGGATACATACATACATTGGCATATATATTTATATACTTCCAATTTATTCGTTATTTTTAAAATAACGAGTATTGTCCCATGTAAGCAAGAGAATGTAATAAACGAAGAT